TGTATAAGCCTACTGCTTGAGTTAACAAAGTACATAGGCCTAGGCATACGGTCCATGTTCTATACGTAAACCATGGAAATAATATTTAAATACTAATCCGCCTGCGTTCAGTTTTACATCCTGGAAAAGTCTGACCTTTTACTAAATTCCAGATCAAGAACTATGCTTCGAAATTCGTATTCTGTTTCTTGAACAGTCTTTAATAATAATAATGAGTTTTTAATGAAAAATACAGGCGATATTTCCACGGTGCGACTGACCTCTTAAATATCTCATCTTCTTGAAATTACGAATCGTTCAGGTATTTCTCGTTTGTTTTCTTTCGTTTCGACCACCCTTTTTATTCTTATTATTTGGTGTTTGCTTTTGTCTTGCTTCGTTGACAACAACCCAATAACAACCATTATAGATTTTGTTAGGATAACTTACAAATAATTATAGCGGGTTTTTAGCGGTCAATGAACCCTTTAGTACACGATTGTTATGGAATGTGACACAGAGTAGTCTGAAAGTTCTTTCTTGAGAATGTAAGGTTTTAGAAGACGACTTTTGAGACTTTTGGGCGCGTTAAGTTATTTTGGTGACATAGGCCTATACATTGTAAAATAATGTAATCTATTTCATTGTCTTGGGAGGGTTGTGATTTGTTGTGCAGGAACGCCTAATGTAGTGATTTGCTATATCCTCAAAATCAACGACTCCTCTGTTCTCCATTTTATTATGTAGGCATTCATGTTTATCTGGAGGCCTCCTATCAGTCTTTCTGTTGTTATACAATGTGTTATTTAACGTTCATTATTACTATTGTTTTTGTTGTGGTTATTTTACAAAGTTAAAATACCGTTCACTGAACTCAGTCGATTCAAATCGAGTTGACAAAATCTACCAGTAACGAAATGAAAATAAACACTATTATTTCAAGGCGTTATGAAAGATGACAGAGTTATTCCAACCGGTACTGTAACTTTTGTAGACACAGAATAACTGTTTGAGTTAAAATATCACCTTGAAAATAACGAACTTTTCGCAATAAAAACGTTGATTGAATAAAAAAGATCTAAACACCAGCTAAGGTCATAGGTTACCTCGCTAATTTTCCCGCATTTCAATTGTTTAGTGAAACTTTATTGTGAACTGAATCGACTTTGATTGTGCACTTCCTGTCTGCGGGTCATAGGGTATTGCTACCTCCGTGAAACTTCAATTGCAAATTTTTTTTGTGGAACTTAACCAACATCCGGATTAAATATTTTGGCATTTGTGTATTGAGGCTATCAAATTGCAGAGAAATAAATAAATACATAAATATTCACATTCCTTAATTAGTTGAAATAGGCCTACTAGATTTCAATTTTCGCAAACAATATTCACTCTTTAATATTTATAAACCATTAATAATACCCTTTTGTGACAAATTTTCGACGTATAATGTGTGGTGGCCTAAATCGGCAAACTTATTGGCCCAAATAGGTTTAAAACTATAAAAACGAAAATAACTTAAAATAATATGTTGGCAAAATACTGATATACTTTCAATATATAGACTTACTGATTTTTTTATATTGTAGGCCTATAGATACAATTTTAGCATTCAATGTTTATATTGAATCAAGGACTAGTTTTGATCTTTAGATTTATTTTGTTATAAGGATGCGATACAGGGAACCGCTCATGCAATGCTCAACTCTTGGTACACATTGATTAATGTTATAACATGTTATTGTAACATGATCGTTGAATAAAATAAAGAAAATAAAAACAAATAATAATTGTTTCGATTTGTGAGTTAAAGTTGATTGCATTATTATGATCCCTTGAGAAATTAAAACCAAAGATGCATCAGCACAAGATAAGATTTTATACCGTACTATAGGCCTCACATTGCGTGGAATCATTATTAGTTATTTGATGAAAAACGAAGGTTAAGGTATTTAATGTAATATGTTAGACGTGAGAATAAAATTGATGAATGACTAAATAAAATACAAGTCTTGTGTCAAATTGGAATACCTTATAAAGCCTAAGGCTACGGTAATGATGATAGCGTCTATTTTATGACGTATTGGTTACAGTACTTTATATATTTTAATTTTAATTGTTTTTACAGTGAGTCGTTGATACTCTGTACTCCCATCCATTCTAATTTTCCGCATGAGGCAGGATTTTAACGTGGAAGCATTGGCTAGAAACGACTGTCGATTTTAAATTCGTTGTAATACATTTCCGATAATAATCAGACGTCATAAAAATCAAGTTTCGATGCGGAAGTTTTATATTTTATTTTCAATTCGTGGGTCTACATATGTTTATGGTATTTGAAAGTCTTTGTCAATACAAGAAGTGATTTCAGACACAACATTAGAAATAGATGGTAAAGAGAACGAGACTTAAAACGCATTATTATAAGTGTTTATGACTACTAAATTCTTCGATTGCTTGAATTAATAAACCAGAATGAATGAAAAATATTAGCTTTCGGACAACCCTTGTCATTCTTCAGTTAAATATTTTGGCCTATACTTTAAACGTTTCACTCTGCAATAGAGATGAAAGTAATAATATTAAAGTATATAAAAATATCTTCAAAAAGATGCCTTTTTTTTTTTTTATCAATCAAGGTACAATAAAGAGATAACGTCGAAAATCATGCGGTAATACGATAGGCCTACAGTATTTGTAGGCAATATAAATTTTAAACGTTACCGTAAGAGAAAAATTCCCGTAATTGCAGCTTTTAAGAATTCGAATCCCATAGAAGCAACTGAATTTCCAAGATGTGTATAAGAGACAGGTCTTGCTTCGTTGACAACAACCCAATAACAACCATTATAGATTTTGTTAGGATAACTTACAAATAATTATAGCGGGTTTTTAGCGGTCAATGAACCCTTTAGTACACGATTGTTATGGAATGTGACACAGAGTAGTCTGAAAGTTCTTTCTTGAGAATGTAAGGTTTTAGAAGACGACTTTTGAGACTTTTGGGCGCGTTAAGTTATTTTGGTGACATAGGCCTATACATTGTAAAATAATGTAATCTATTTCATTGTCTTGGGAGGGTTGTGATTTGTTGTGCAGGAACGCCTAATGTAGTGATTTGCTATATCCTCAAAATCAACGACTCCTCTGTTCTCCATTTTATTATGTAGGCATTCATGTTTATCTGGAGGCCTCCTATCAGTCTTTCTGTTGTTATACAATGTGTTATTTAACGTTCATTATTACTATTGTTTTTGTTGTGGTTATTTTACAAAGTTAAAATACCGTTCACTGAACTCAGTCGATTCAAATCGAGTTGACAAAATCTACCAGTAACGAAATGAAAATAAACACTATTATTTCAAGGCGTTATGAAAGATGACAGAGTTATTCCAACCGGTACTGTAACTTTTGTAGACACAGAACAACTGTTTGAGTTAAAATATCACCTTGAAAATAACGAACTTTTCGCAATAAAAACGTTGATTGAATAAAAAAGATCTAAACACCAGCTAAGGTCATATTGTGTTATATAAATGCTGCTGTTGTCATAAGATTTCTTTAATCTTTAATTGCTAATAAGAGAGTCGGTGTTTCTCTTTTTACCCGGTTTCATCAATTAATTGTATACTTACTATAACTCATTAAATAAAATTAATTTATTGAAATCAGACTAAATTTTTAGTGAGGAGAACACACAGCGGTGAAAGTACTTGGAAAACGGAAAGTTATTAACTTTAATATTTACTCGATTTCCTTTATGAAATTATCAGGGTATTAATGATACTCGGGCGTATTTAGCACAGGAAAACGGATAGTATTTGTATATAAGTTTTGAGGATGTAGACCTACAGTAGTGTTCTACTTCATCGGAAATTGACGGATACAGTCACAACCGGTAGATTTATATCCATATATATAGCCAATTCCATTAGTTCGAATGTAGGCCTACTTTCATTTCGTTCTGCTTTGAGCAATGGAAGGAATATTAATTAATATGACCGGAACAACAATGAAATATACCATCATTTCCCCAACTGTAGTGTTTCGATTGGATGAGTGTCACATATCAGTGTTTACGTAATGTTATTAGAATACAGTATTATATAATAATATAATCACTAATGTTATACTATAATATATAACGCATATCGCACCTATGCGCTAGATCTACACAAAAATAAATATTAATAGACCGGGCCTATATTATTATATTAGGCCTATCATTCATTTATATGTTAACAAATCATTATATATCTGTTATTGATATTATTATTATTATTATTATTATTATTATTATTATTATTATTATTATTATTATTACAGTTCAGAGAGACAAGTATTAAACATTAATTTAGACATTTGGGTTGTAGTACCGGTATCTTATTGCAAGAATGGATGAGTTATCTTGTTGCTTGGTAGAATTGGAACATAATAATCAACGTGACAGTGACGATGGTGATAAGGACGATGGTTATGATTTTAACAATAGGCTTTATTAATGTTACGCGTTAATATTTTTCTTAGGTAAATATAGTCTTCACTGAAGAAATGCGTATCTCTGAGTAATTTTCATTAGGTATTTATTGTGGTGTTGAAAAAATTTTGGCCATTTCTTAATTAGCAGATATATTAATAGTATATATTATTATCCTGTATTGTTATGAAAATTGTTTTTTAAAGCTGTAAAACCATGTCGAGGCAGCAGAACAACGTGCCGTCTTTAAATACTATTACCGTTATAGTTGTGGAACATCAGTTTGTGTAAACCTTTTAAAAATTGAGCCATATTTGCTGCGGAAATGAATGACTGAATTCTGTGTGTGTGTATGTATGGGTGTGTGTGCGTGTGTATGAACTTGGGGAAATGGTCGATAGCGGTCCAAAATACGCGATAGATAGTATAGAGGGTATTAAAATTATCTGCCCACTCATATTGCAGTAGCTGTTGCTAATAGGTGGCTGTGACGTCAGGATTGTATGCAAATTTTTCGAACGATGAAATCAGAGAGGACCCGCCGCGGTGTGTCATTACGCGAGCATTTTGTATAGAAAATGGATGGAACTTGCTAGGCGTGATCAAAGTAACGTCATTGGAAAGTTATATTCTCCCGCTTTGGAAACGAGTTAATTTTGAAAATCTGGACTGAGAAGTAGTAGTTTGTATTCTATAGGACTTCATAGAATATTTAGGGATATCATGGAAGACATCGATCAAAATTTCGAGCCTCAACCTCGTCCACGTTCCAGCACTTGGCCTCTGCGAAGGCCTGACTTTCTTGACAACAAGCCCGAAGCCTCCCCTGCTATTGCTGAAGAAGAACCACCTCAGACCAGTGTCGAACAATCGCAACATTGTCATGCACCAACTGAGCTAACTGCTCTCACACCAGAACCTGTAGTACCTGATGTACTGGAACCACTTGCAGTAGGAGAAAACAAACCAGATTCCTCCACTCCAAATAAGAAAAATACTTCACGAAGAAATGCTTGGGGAAATTTATCGTACGCAGACCTGATCACGAAAGCGATTCAAAGTTCCCTCGAACACAGGCTAACATTGTCTCAAATTTACGAATGGATGGTTAAAAATGTACCGTATTTTAAAGATAAAGGGGACAGTAACAGCTCTGCTGGATGGAAGGTTAGTATCTGGAATATTTCTCAATGTTTCTGTTTTCTAGCGACATACGATACGTGCTGGCCTACTTGCTGTGTTTTAAAATGTGGGAGTGAGCAGACTCGAAGTTACTCAGGTCAGATGGACATTGTTTACCACATAGGCTAGGCCTAGCACCCCCTGTGCGGTCTCATGGGTCTGGCATTGTTGGTTCATGGTGTGGTGTGATAAGGCTAGAATGGATCTGTAATGAGGAATTTATTAAAGTGAAATATTATTACATACAAATTTTAACATTAACCAACAACATAGGCCCTAGGCCTAGCTCGGCTAGAAAAATTACTTGTGGAATATTAATAATAGGTCTAGGGTACTAGGCCCTAGGGCTCTCCTAGCCTAGGGCCTAGTTGATAAGTAGGAATTTAACTGTACAGCTTTTATTGCTGAGGAATGCAGTACATTTCAGCGACAAAACCAGTTCGGCCACTAGGCCTAGGCCTATGTCACGTGTTTAACACCCAGAAAATCAAGAAATTAAACCATTTTGTTTATTATATAAATAAATGTTCACTAGGACTACACTACAGTATGCAATGCTTACAGAACTTTGTTGGGCTCATCAGTTACCAGTAAGAATTTTAAGTCTGTTAAATTTAGAATTACTCATGTTTCTTGTATGATTGTTATACCTTGCCTTCAATCCCCTTGTTTAATTGAAGGGAAAAAACATGTTGTTATTACCTTTGCTAACAGTCAATAAACGTACTTTGAGTATGAAAATATATAACGACTAGGCTTGTTTCTAGCCGAAACATTCCTACACCACGTCAAGTACATTCAAAGTACATTGACAATAATTAGTAATCTAAATATTGTAAATGTAAGGTGCATTGTAATAATAATTATTTGTTTTGTTTTAAATAATGTATGCCTACTGTAGGCTAGAACTTAAATGCTCCAGATTGTAAAGAAAGGGCCTCTCCCCCCCCCCCTTCCCACAACAACAAAATTTAGCCTTAGGAATTATCCTTTGGCTTGGTTAAACAGCCAATGTTTATGCATAGGCAATAGTGCACCCACCAATTCGAGACCCCTCTACAGTAATTCTGAGACCCCTCTAATTCAAGACCATTTTTTTGAAGAACCAAATAATAACTTTCAATCTTTTAACACAAATTTAACCGTCTAAGTGGACACCAAACTGCGAGACCACTCCAAATTTTCAGGTCCCAAAGATGGTCTCAAACTGGAGGGTGAACTTCAGTTACATTTCTGTTCACCTATTTTCATAACAATTTCTGTGTAAATTTGGGTTAGGTTTTTATGCATCCTCGTATGAAAAAATACTTTGTTGTGTCATCTAGGCTTATTTAATTATACTGTACAGCTGTAGTATTCACTAGGCCTAGGCTACAGTATGTTATTCGTAAGTACACTGTAAGGCTTAGACTAAGCAAATACACGGATAAGGTCAAATTTATAAAATAAATGTCTTATTTTTATTTCACTTGCAATACATCAGCGCATAATTATCATCAAAACAAGCTAGATGATTGAGCAGTCAGAAGTGAACAATATTCTAAGAAAAGAAAATTTAAGCATTATGAACTTTCAGAACTGAAATAAAGTATACTAAAAATGCTACCGGCGCTTATTTGTGAGTGGCGTTTAGCAACGAAATTAATGATTTCTGTGACATTTATCAAGTGGTGCTTAAATTTTTCAGATTGAGGTATTTTAAAAATTCCTGCAGAATGTTACATCTCTTTTCTGTAATAGAACAAAAAAAACCCATCAATCAAACTTGAATAGCTCCTTTAAAATTTACTCTTACATTTTTTAAAGATGCAGTGTCCCTTGCTAATGTCAAAAAATCATAAAAAAATAATTTTGAAATAAACTTGCTCATATTGCAAAAGCATACAACTTATTAACTTGTGCATGAAAATTGTTGAATTTAAAAAATGTGTGTACAGTACCCTGATTTTTAAACTAAAAAAATTATAAGAAAAAATAATAAAATACTTCCAGTGACTGGAAGTGTTTCTATCATTTTTTGCTGTAAACTGATGGGTAGACATTATTTAAATACACTAATTTCTATGTTCAAGTTGATAACTGTTACTGTATGTTACTTCAAAATAGGCAAGTTAATTTCAAAAAAATATTTTTATGATTTTTTTGGTATTTAGCATGAGACAATACATGTTTAATTGAAAGCTAATATTATACATAATTAAATTATATGATACATTTGTTAGTTCATCATAAACAGACTTGTCTCCCTTTGGACTTTATGGAAAGTCATTCCTAGAATTAATAATTCAGTAAAATTGTTTGTATTTTATATGTCCAAATAAATTAAATTAAAAAAGTAATATTTTAAGACTTTTTTGTCCTTAAATTACTAAAGTACCATAGTTACTCTGGATTACAGTATTCACAGACGTACTGTAGACATATTAATCAAGTATCAAATTGTATCAACTGTCACCTGTTATTTTACTACAGTACTTTTAATCAAAAGAACCATCTGTAATAGAAAAAAGTTCAAAATTGCCTGTATGCAATAGACATAGAATATTAAAAAATAGTGAGTACATTAATCGAGTACTATTCATAGTTATTAACAAATGTAACTGGACTACAAAAGTGCTCTTCTTCAAAACATTTTGTTCTGTTTATGATTTACATTCATTTTTTTCCTATAGTAAATTTTCAAGTCTCAGCAAACAGTACCTTCATAGCATACATGTAGGGGTTGTTGCAATTACTGTTGTAAATGTACAATGACAATATTGTAGTTAGTGAATCGTGTGTGTATGCTGTGTAACAATGACAAAAAAATAGCGAAGCTGGCTTCATAAATGTTTCCCGAAATATGTCTAGTTGTACGACCATCTTCATTACTTTTTATATACTTTAATAATCACTACCAGAATATTTCCAGATGTACATAGTTAGTCTACATTCGAAAAAACCCAGAAATGTAGATCCTTTAGTTAACCATGCTAATATGGCTGTAGAAACAAACTAAGTAGGTTTGTCATATGACGAGGGATTCCTTATCCAGGTTGATCAGCCCTGAACTGATATCACTAAATGCGATGTCATAGTTCATAATAGATAGTGTGATTATATCAATCAAACTTCCTCCCCTCTTAAACACTTGAATGGCTGCTAAATAATAATTATATCCTCCTCACAAGGTACCCTGATGGATATTAGTAAGTTGATAACGTAGCATCAGTATTATTAGAATCAATTCTATATTAAATTTGATGGAATGCTAAACTGTTCATCTTTAGTCATTATTCTGTGATAGATTTATCAAATATTGGCTTCAAATAAATCAGCAAAATCAATAAGCATTATGCTTAATGTTGTAAATATACATGCTTAATGGCATAATTTTTTAGGTATGTGACCTACAATCCAGACCAATCTGGATGATGCATTAACATTTAAAAAATAAAATTTGTGGCGCCACCTAGTTTCTGAGACTTGATGGTATTGTATCTAAGTTTGACAACATAGTATAGAATATTATATGGGGAGGACCAAGTGAAGGTTTTCGTCTCCAATTCCTAATAATTTAATAATTGTCCGAGGCAAAAACACTGATACATTTTTAAAAAAGTAAGTTTTAGCTGAGGAATTTTTACACACTTTAAGGTATTGTAATTGATATTCCATTCTGCTTAATTATTCACCACATCTTTACACAGTAGGATTGAGGTAAAGGTCATTGCCTCTAATTTCCACATTACCACACCAGTTATTAAAGTTGATACCTTGCCAAAACAGATGTATTCCACACTCTCAACTCTACACTTCCATGTGGTGGCATTTTTCAGTTTGGTTCGAGTAACACTCAGCGGTACTGCATTCATGCCACTTCATCAAGCTTTGACATTTTAGAAGTTTCTGAGAAAACAGCGGAAAGTGGTTTTCTTAAAATTGATAATCTTACTAGTGAATTTTTCTTCTTAATTACATTCAGAAGCATACATGTCTACTATACTTTAATTCAATTTATAGATTTTATGTTCTTTAATTACTTTGGCAGTTACATTCCAATTGAAGATAGTTCATTAAATAATTATCCTATTTAACATGATTAATCTTATTTACCATAATTCATAAAGGAATTACATTTGGAATACTATTGTACTCTCATTATCTGAATTCCATACAAGTAAAGTTAAAACGTGAAACAAAACAACTTAGTTATCTTGGAGTTGAGCTTACCTACAACTTAACATGGGGAGCTCATATTGACAGAATGACCAAAAGAGCAAACAATATGCTTAACATGCTAAGAAGAAACTTTCATAATTGCCCTATTGAAATTAAAAAATCTTACACTACATTCGTTAGTCCACTTTGGAATATGCACAGACAGTATGGGATCCATATCAACAAAAACAAATCAACAAAATACAATCGATTCAAAATAAAGCAGCTCTGCACTCTACTAAAAATTATGAAAGGAATAGTAGTATTTACAGAGATTCAAAAACAATTGAATTGGCCTATACTACAACATAGAAGGTTTTTTGCTAGACAAGTTCACTTCTTTATTGAACATGGCATGGATAACAGCCATAATAGTACCATTAAATATAAAGAATAATAACGATGGAAGAGTATTAAGAAATTCCAGTAATTTTAACCTAATGAATATTAGATGCTCAAGTGACAAATTAAAATTTTCTTTTTTTCCACGCACTATAAAGGCATGGAATTTATTGCCAGAGAATATTAAACAAGCTAAATTATTACCTGTTTTTAAATCTATTCTTTGGACAAACATAAATGATGGTACAATTATCGTTGCACCACCTAAAAGCAAGTACTGTCAAGTTATGGGCTTCAATTTGATGAAGCAGTCGATTGTCAATCATGTAATAAAAATTTATTTGTTTGGTGTTAAAGCTTCTTGATGTTGTTGTCGAACTGTTTTGATCAGTAATTGTTATGTGGTTTTAATATTGCACTTAGTGGTTTTGTTTGGTCTGGTTTGATGTATTGTGTACACACCGAGAGACGCACCCCTGGCGCATGCCCCAGCGGTCCTTTGCCAGTATTGATCCAGACCCAGAAAGCATGGCTTGCTATTGTATAGTCATCTTTTATTGGGAGCATACAAATGTTTTAAAGTAAGAGAATTGTTAAATTCTAACAATAAGTTCTATTTTATTCACAATTGTACTATTGCACAGTTAGCTGTGGTGAACTTTTAGAAACCCTGCAATATTAAAAAAAGTTAAAGGATTAAATGTTAAGATGTAGGTTTTTAGTGAGTTGCTTAATTTGTGTTTATGTCGGCTTTGTTTCATATTCTACAGTCTAAAGAATATTCAAAGCTCACTTTTCATCCAATATGAAACTTGCAAAACCTAACGAAACATTAACGAAGTCCAATGGGAATAGTCATTGTTTATCTTGACATCGTGACAACATATCCTGGAATTTTGTATGATGTGAACCCAGAATCCTGGACCTTGATGACAGTCACCTTAAACTCCAATGTATAGTACAATTCCACAACATTTAAGTGGAGTCAGTTGTTTGTTTTTTTGGTAATTTGTCACGTATGGTAGATCACGTAATTTACCAGTAATATAATTATATTTTTTAATGTAGGCCTATTCTTTATACTGTAGAGTTTATTCAGTAGGAGTGTACTCTACCTATTTCTCCCAATTTTTCATTGATGCAGCCCATGAATTTCACGTCGATAATCGGCAATTTCCGACCATGTTGCCAAGCCAGCTAGCTAGTAAAAAATTGCCAAGGCTGCCGACCTCGGAGAATTTTTGCCTACCTAATTTTTTCCAAATTTTTATGGGCTGTTGATGGGATTATTTTGTTCTGTTTATAGATGTCTCGATGCGATCAACCACTCTACTACTACTTTACTACTACTTCTAGAAGTACTACCACCAGTAAATATCTTTAACTTAAAAAAAAAAAGAGGAAGGTTGCACGCATTTACTGCAGTAGCCACAAATACAGTGGTAGACCTAGAAAAAACGAATCGTATCCAGTTTGACACTTGTCTCTTCCCCCTCCTCCCATCCCTAGGTTGTCCATGTGATGTGTCACAGTAAATTTGCATAATTATTTAGCATAATTTAGCATAACATTATCATTAAGCCAACTCAAGTTTAATTTTGTTTAATAGGTGAGTAAGTACTGTGCATGCAGTAAGACAAAATACAGTTAATTCAGCAGATTTTTTTTGCTAATTTATGGCCATAGCCCTTGTTAATGTTTTATGACTTATTGCTCAATGCATGGCCTTAAAAATATCCCTTATACTGTATAGCACAACTGTAGGCCTAGAGTACTAGCCTAAAAAGCAAAGAATGCATCAGGAACATTGCACATTGCCTCTTACTACCAGTTGTGCAGTTGCATCACTTTTTCCAGGCCTGGTAAATTGAATTGTGGCTGGGGTAGGCCCCTAATTATTATTTAATCAGATTGTATTTATTCGTGCCCCTCTTGTTTCTATCTTGCAGAACTCCATCCGGCATAACCTGTCTCTGCACAGCAGGTTTGTCAGAGTACAGAATGAGGGCACAGGCAAGTCTTCATGGTGGATGATAAACCCAGATGCTAAGCCTGGAAAGTCATCTCGACGCAGGGCGTCAAGTATGGATACTAAAAACTCAAATTGGGAGAAGAAACGTGGACGTGCCAAGAAAAAGGTTTTGGAAGAGCGCACAAAGTGGGCTAATAGCCCAAGTTCTACTACAGATGTAGATTTTCAGTTGGATTCTTCTTTTGCGGATTTCCGATCAAGGGCAAGTTCAAATGCGAGCAGCTGCGGTCGTTTATCACCGATATTGGCAAATTCAGAATTAGATTTACACGATCATGATGGACCACCAGTTTCTCCAGCAACTTCTCTTGGGCCTCCTCCTCCTCCATATGAATCCGCCATTGGCACCGAACTTCCCCAAGTAACTGAACTAACAGAAACTATGGCAGAACGTATGAATCTTAGTACCTCGATTAATAGTTCTCTAAGCTCAGACCAAATGAATAGCCCTGTGGAACAGATGCATTTGCAAAGACAGGATAGTAGACTTTATCATCAGAATGGGGGTAACAACTATATATTCTCTCCTCCAGGCTCGGGCTTTAACAGTAGCCAGCCATCACCCGCTCATAGTGGTACAGGCCAGAGCCCATTCAACCACTACTCATCATGTACCTCACAAACGTCTGCCCTGAGTCCCCAGCAAACACCTCAAAGAACACCGTCCATGAACAGTATCTCAGATCAGTTTCCCATGATGCATCAACCAAGGCTTAACTTTTCAAATGTAGCTCTCACTCAGTCTGAAGCGATGTTAACTCAAACAAATTCAATCATGTCGTCAGACGATGGTCTTATCTCGTCAAACATGCTGCAAGAACAACTCCCTCCGTCAGTTGTCATGAACCACAGAAACCAACTGATGGCGGCAGCTTCATGCCGAAACCAGAGCATAATATCAAGAAACATAAACATGTCTCAATGTCCAAGCCAGTTGTCGGCTTTACTTACAATGCCCAGTCAGTACAACAGCAGATACCAATTATCTGTCGCACAACAACCAGTCCATCCGCCAAATGGTATGCCGCAGCTGACGCCGCAGCAATACGCCAATCATAACAGCGAAGCCATGCCTCAGGATCTCGATCTGGACATGTTTAAAGATGAGACGTTAGAATGCGACATGGATAGCATTATACGCAGCGAACTGGATATGGGTGATGGATTTGACTTTAATTTTGATCAGACACCAACAATGAACGCCCCTCAAAATATCCAGCAAACCATGCCAATGATGCAAACCACTACAAATGGAAATGTTACTGGAAACTGGGTACATTAAGGTGAGTCATAATTTATTTTACTTAAAAAATAAGAATCTTTAGATAAGAAAATATTACCAGCTTGAGTGTATAGGTGCAGTTAAGAATGGGGTTTTTATATGGTTGATAAACAAATTAATTGGAAAATGACTTTGGTTGATTAGTAAGTAAAGGGTTTGTGGTTCCAATTTTAAAGTCCAAGTGTGCCACATAATTACTGTCCTTGGCAAATATAGTTTATCTGCATTGTTAATCCATATTCAGCTTTCACGCTATGCTTGGATGGAGAGAGGTACCAGTGAGTGGGTACAGACCTAAGGTTTTGAAAGTCGGTGCACTGAGTTTATGCTCCAGTTTTATGGAATACTCCACAGGGAGCACAGTATTCTTCATGTGATTGATCCAATGAACAAGTTAATAATGTATAGCTATTTTAAAGAGGCATAATTGCCGACTATATTACAATTAACTTTCTGTATAGTTGTTTCATTAGTTTCTTACTACAATCACTATTATAAGGATACTACAGTATTTGTCTTGCAGCATTTCATGTGATACTAATTCTTAATAATCAACACAATCTTTATACATAATATTGAAATTATTTAATTTGCTGCTACTGTTAAAAAATTTCTTCCAAATTATGCAGCATCTCACGTGATACTAATTCTTGATTAATCAACACAATCTTTATACATTATATTTAAATTATTTAATTTGCTGCTGCTGTTCAAAAATTTCTTCCAAATTATTTTCTACATGTACCATAAAATGTTGTCCTCCCTTCCTTTCAGTAAGTAAAAGAATATTATTAATAACTGCAAATATACTGTATTAGCCTTTGAGGCTTCAAGAGAGTCTAGGCACCATTTAGCTCTGCTGTGCAAAACCATTTCTGTTAAATTTACTGGCATGCAAGATCACATGTTGGAGTTGGGGGTATTTGTAATATGCAGGTTTCCTGTTGTCTGTCTCTTCAATATCCTTTATTCATTCAGTTTCATTCAATAATTGCAAAAGAATGCTAAAATGCCTACTGGTTTTTATTTGTTTATTCAGCTAAAAACACTTAAATAAGCATTTTTAGGAAGGTTATTCAAAATTTGACAATGCCTTCTGCAATAACTTTTCAAAAACAGGACAGGAAACAAGGACTAATTGTTAATTATCTTAAAGGTACCAACCATATATAAACTGTAATGTATTATTATAAGCTAAAGTATGCTAATTAATGAGAAACCTATTTAATTTTTATCTATATTAAAATTTAAATCTAGTTGTAAAATTTGTTATTGCAATGGAGAAAATAATATTTATACCTCAGATAATAAGAGGGTAATTGATGTTTTAATTTAGAGGAATTTTGAACTGATTGGAGGGAAATGGTAAATCTGTTATAAGGGGAGGGTTGAGCGTACTCAGGCAGTCAGCCTCAATTTCCGCTTTTGTGACTCAAATTGCTCTCCGCTGAACTGCGGAAGCAAAAGCAGTGCAAAGTCATGCGTAGCTATCTATAGAATAAAACTCCTCCTAATTAGATTGAGGGGGAAAAGATTGAAACTCCATTAAACCATTCAACTTGAAAATAAAGTAAATTTCAAGGCTGCTGTGCAGATTTTAAACATTCATGGCGTTAGTAGTGGCATGGATATAATGGTCAGTTTTACACTCCAATGGCTATGCTGCATGGCATATGCTTGTACTCTAACACTATCTACTGTCATAATAAATTTATACTAGCAACTGTTTTTGAGTAACATTTAAAATAAGTGAAGCTTCGCTCTAAATGAAACATACATTATAATAAGCGAGTCCACTGATAGCAAATGAATAAGGAATATTGTGTTTAGGATTCATGTTTAAAGAGGATTTGCATAATGTAATATACTGAACATTTGTAATTTGTAGGATCATATTTACAATCATATTTTCTTAAGAGTGGACCACTCGTCACCCACTGTAAATTTAGTGTAAATAAATAAAATGATTAAAGTATATAATTCGGCTAAATATTTGCAAGCACAAAAGAATTCCAAATTAATAATTTCCAACAATTTAGACTTTGCAAACTCAAGAATTCCAAATTAAAAAAAAAAGTATGGCAACAATTTATCAACCAGCTTGAGTAGGTATTATACTAAAGGCTGGTTTAATTATATTTGTGTTCCTATTCATTGTGTTTCTGTGACAATTTATTTGAATTTTAATTTGATTTTTACTGTTGTACATTTGTAAAATGAAGATCTACAGTAGTAATAATTTTTTTTTGAATTATTTTATTATTGATAATGTTTTTATGGGTTTATAGTCAGAAATTCGAGCTTGCAGAACCCCTTCATTAAACTTTAATATTTTACGTTTTAAGAAGGATTAGTGTTAACAGGAAGCAGATTACTAGGCACTATGCCAGAGATCGCCAAGTAGATCAATTTAAAACAGTGTTGCGAGTACAAGGTTACACCTGATGGTCTGCCAGCGTTTGTGCATCTCCAGCCCGTCAATATTAGGTCTGCGTTCACAGTTGTATCGGAAAAGTGAAATTCTGACACACAAATATTGCAAGAGTTTGACCCAAGAGACTAAGTGTGTTGTTCCAGATGCTTACTTAATGGATGTGTGATTTTTCTTTGAGCCCTTGTCCATCACAATAAAATCCATATGATTGCTTTTCGCCAGCAAATCTCATGAAATATGAGATGTTTGAGAAAAACATATTTGATTCTGGTTATTTTGAAGAAGATTGTGTGGATTTAGATAAAATCTGAACGTACGATACGCAAATAGATAACTCCGAAATATGTCATGCTCAAAACCTGTACACAATTATTAAATCCATTTATTTTAATTGTTTTTGTGTACAATGAAATAGAGAAGCTATACCTACTGCAGGCATTAAAAAGGTGTGAAAGTACTAGAGTCGTTTTAAATATATTTTGTCACATACTGTAATATATACAATGAATTGTGGGACAATTAATCATTGGTGGACAGAATAAAAATACTGATCATAAAAAAACAGATAATATCATGGGTGTATACATGCAAGGGGGTGGGGTCAGGAGGGTCGTACAACCCTTCCCCCCCCCCCAAAAAAATTTTTTCAAAGGTCCACATTTTTTCCAAAGACATTTTTTTCTAGGGCCTTTTCACAATGACATAAATGAAAAAGCATTGATGAGGTACCAGCAATGAGTCCAAAGACCTTGCCATTTGCGTGACGTAATCTATCTCAATTTCAGCATTTCTAAAACTGAGCCTGCCATCCGCTTCAAGCTGGTGGTGCTGTAATCGATATTTCTATCTCCTACTGGAAAGGTCCAAAAAATTATGATCACGATCCACCCAGAAAAAATCCTGGATACACCCCTGAATATGTTGCAGTTGATATCTTTTGTACAAATTATTTGTGATCTTCATTGTAATACAAATGTTAAATCTAATCTCCACATTAAGTAACCAAAAATTGATATTAATTTCAAAGGATGTAATTTACATATTATATTACTGTATAGAATGTGTTGCTGACACTACTTGCCAGTTCTTGCCTGGTGTTGTGCTTGTAAACCTGCATAATCATTTGATTGTATTGTTTGTAGTTCTTCATATATTGAGCTTATTTAAGCAACGTTGTGAATGCTACTGTATTATTGTGCGATCTGCTATGAATGGTCAATGGTTTACCTACTGGAATTTACATATGAACAGGTCTTAATTTACTCTAATGCCCTAGGGCCTGGAGGCTAGAGAATCGGCTTAGGGTGTTGGCTAAACTACAAGATTGAGATTCAGTACTATTCTTAAGGGATACATGTCCCATTATCTTCCAAAAAGCCTCAGTTGTCTTCTCTGTGTGTTCAACAGTTCCAAAATAATTGCCTGACTTGTTCAAGCAACAGTTTCATCGCATGTCTAAATTAGATTTAGGCACTGTCTGTGCTACTTTGAACAAGTTCAGTATACAAATTTTCTATTTTTTTGTATTCAAGTTGGGTATTTGAAAAAATGAAACGATTATAGTATGGTAATGTTTTCTCAAAAATAATGTCTCTTAAAAGATATATATTTTTTTTTAATTGTAAGGATTTTTTTTATTGTAATATGATATTGTATCATTTAAAAAAAAATTGTCATGTTAGACAATATGCCTAATTTTAATATATCTTAAATAAACTACCATGGCTTAAACATTGATTTTTTTTTTTTAATGAAAATTAATACTTATAGCTTGTATTTTAAGGGCTTATCTACTGTATCATGACCATGTCCATCAATGCCATATCATCATCATAAACCAAAAGGTCCACTGATTAATTTCAGATAAGATAGTATTAATATACATACTCCAAGTATTGAAATGCACACCATCGTGTCAGGATTCAATATTTCAACATTAATGATGTCATCATCAGGAATGAAAAATTATCCATATTTGCAAGTTTTATATGCACAAGTATCATAAGTGTTTGACCTATCAAAACATTACCCCTAGTAGGTGACATAAACTTTACTTTGGTAATCCATTTTATCATTTTTTTATAGGCCATACAATACACTGTTCATTGTTGTCATTATTTAGATCATTATATTCTGCCTTTTGATGAACAAGCAGGTCTACACTATTTCATTATCCTCTAGCTTATGTTTTGTACTCTCAAAATATATTGATAGACCATTTAATAATCCTATACTGTATAAGAGCAAAAACTAAAAGATTTTTTATGTGTCATAATGCATCGCCATTCGTGATATCAATCAATTTTTGTTTAAATTATTGCATAATTATGCCATGTTTTATTTGGTAGTAAACATTTTTCCTTACTGTATCAACTCTGTCAATATTATAATCAAATTTAATATTTCATCATGAATTAAACATGAATAATTTATATTCATAAATCACAAATGTAATGTACAAAAAAAAAAAAACTTGCCAGTCCTTGCCTGGTGTTGTGCTTGTAAACCTGCATAATCATTTGATTGTATTGTTTGTAGTTCTTCATATATTGAGCTTATTTAAGCGA